ATGAGCACAGCTTTATGTCTCACCCCTCTCGCCTGGTTGCCCGTTCTGGCCGTTAGTACCGGGAAAGCCTGGCCTCCCGGGTGGACCTTGCTCTCCCTGAGGACCAGGGGGGCCTCTCCTACCCGGCTCTCCCGGTGGTCCAGGCACTGTTCGGACTGACACCGCTGGCTGCATGGGGATCTGGTTCAGGAAGGAGTTGTAACGCGACAAGTGGCCTGAAATAGATGGTGGAGATTGAATGATTTGAAAACACCCAGATTTAACTTTTGACATTTATGTATTTTTTGTTATTTAAAAAAAAAATCAGAAGTAATGAAGCATGCTCGTGTTAATCTGTAAAAAATCGAGATCACTCACTCTGGATGAGCTGTTCACACACTTGACGTGCAATAGCTCGCACAGCCGCCTGGGACTGCACATCACCCTGGAAGAACAAACACAGAGCTCGTAGGATCTGACTTTACACAACCACACGGACATAAACTTCCAGACCAGACGTTGATAAAGTGGTGGGCGGGTGTTTTTTTATGGGTGTTTAATGAGTGTACTCCACCTTTACTCCACACTGACACAAAACAGAAAGCCAGAACCAGAGCAAGTACGTGAAAACTGGACGATTAAATATAAATCAAGATTTAATTACACTAATTATTTGGGCTAACTTTGTTGAGTGTGCTTCTATAGTTTGTATTTTAAAAATTAATCTTTTTTTTTAACCACAGCAGTTAACTTGTCATGAGGAGTACTACACAGGAGGTGTTTCAAAGTGTGAAAAACAACCCAGACTACATCTCAAAAAAGATGAAATTACAAAGCCAATAATAATAATATAATATATCATAAATATGATTTGTGGCGCTCATAACCCATATATTATTCCCAATAAAAAATAGAAAAAATATCAAATGTTAAAAAGTATTCACTATTTTATGAAAAATATTAGCAATTTGAAAGCAGCAACAGCTTGTTTAGCACCGTGTAGCATCCCCTCTTCTTCTAACAACAGCCTAAAAACACCAGCTGTTGGTCTTTTGGGAGAAAATGTTGTCCCATCGTTGATTGACACGGGACTTTACCTGCTCAGAAAGATTTTGGGTCTCCTGTCATAATTCTTTTTCATATTGTCATTTTGTTTAAAAAGTGGCTGTCAGTAGTTACTTAAGAGGCACTGTGTCAGTTTTGC